TAACCACTCGACTGGACTTAGTTATACTGAAGATACGCTTTCCTCCCTAACAGAAGAAACATGCCAACTGCTTTTACCAACATGGACAGGGCCCCGTCACTGACGAAGGCGGGGAACAGAACAGAAGTCCTGAGAATATTCTTCTGAAGTGACAAAGATGAGCATCATGTCACCGATCATCATCAGTATATCAACAACTAAATGTTGTCATGTTTACTTCTCATATTAAGTGAAATAAGCCTTTTCTACGTTTGTGAGAGAACAAGGTGACGTCTGGAGACTCTTGGTAACGCCCTGTACCTTTTCTGGCATCTGGATGGACCAAAGCTTAGAAAAAACTGACCTTTACAAGAATTCACACAGAACTGAAACTCCAGTTCATCCAAAGGCTCCAACCACAGGGGATCAGACCAGGTCATTCAACAGAATCATTCCAGGTGCATAAGAACCATCCTTTTATACGTCAAACAACCATTATTTGTTTAAATCTGCACGACAACGCCCACCAGCAGACCCAGGGGACCATCTCTGACCAGCTGATGTAGATTCAGAGGAAGACGGTCTTTGATATTTAGAAGTCTCCGTGACCTGCCAGACCACCATGAAGCCTCTACACACACGGGTACCGTAACTCTGCACTGGCGTTGGACGGGTCCGTCTTAATTTGAATAACGGAATAAAAAATAACGTTATAAATCCAGACATCACAATATTTTCTTAGACACTTAATAATATCTAAGATCACGTTTCATCAGAGTTTATAGTAAAAAATATAAATTTTTTATATAGTAATATATATGTATATTATTTATTTATTAAACAATATTTTTGTCTCTGTGTCAAATTATTATAAAGTGTTGTTTCCTGGTGTACCCACAGTACCTAATTATATCAGCAATCAAATATCAAAGGCTCAATAATATTGATAATCCATGTTTTTATGTGATATTACATTTTATTGATTACCGTTATATTCTGTTGACAGTTTATTAAAAGTAACCACTTACAAAGGTTACAGTGGAAAGGCTGAGGAACCGTGTTGAGATGCTCGAGAACCACAATACAGGGAATCTGCAGGTCTAAGGGAGCCAAATTTAAGACTTTTTAAGACCTTTTTTAAGGCCACTTTGACCAAATTTAAGCTCGTTGTCGTCTTCCTCCGCTTATCCGGGTCCACGTCACGGGGGCAGTATCCCAACTAGGGAGCTCCAGACCGTCCTCTCCCCGGCCACCTCCACCAGCTCCTCCGGCAGGACCCCAAGGCGTTCCCGGACCAGATTGGAGATGTAACCTCTCCAACGTGTCCTGGGTCGACCCGGGGGCCTCCTGCCGGCAGGACATGCCCGAAACACCTCCCCAGGGAGGCGTCCAGGAGGCATCCTGACCAGACGCCCAAACCACCTCAACTGACTCCTTTCGATCCAGATCCAAATTTAAGCTATTATTTCCAGCTATTGCCTGGAACCGGTGCTAACCACGTCGCCAACGTGGGACTAACCATCCATTTACCATTAAACTTGCACTTCTCCATGGCGCAAGCTCCCACTAGCTTAACCAGCTAATTAGGGCTGCAACAACGAATCGATAAATTCGATGAAAATCGATTACTAAAAGCGTTGGCAACGAATTGCGTCATCGATTCGTTGTGTTGCGCAACTCTTCCAAAAGCCCCCTCCCCTCCCGCCCGCCGTTGCGCGCAGACCGGTGGAGAGCCGGCAGGTGTTTGTAAGAGGAACATGGCAGAAGCAGCGAGACCCCCAAAAAGTAAAAACTTCTAAAGTTTGGGAGCATTTTCAGTTAAATCAGGCGAAGACATGCAACGTTTGTACGTCAGACTTAGCATGGCACGGGGATACTACGGTGATGATGCAGCGTCTTAAACGCAAGCATGTCAGAATCATCAGCGAGGAAGGAGAGAGCTCGGTGTCCGGGTAAGTTAAAAACTTTTCAAAAGTGATTCACCCAAGCCCCGGATTATTACACAGGCTAGACATGCCCTAAGCTCGTTAAAAAAAGTCTATAAAATTGTAAGCGCGACGCTATTAGATAGGCGGGGGTGGGGGGTGTGGGGGGGGGGGGTACTCGCGCCGCTGCGAACCGGTTCTGCCGTCACATTCCCACAGAAACTGGTTGATCACACCGCGGCCAGACTACTAACATGTGGCTTTACAACCACAATGTCCTCAGAAGCGAAAACGCTTTTAAAAGGGAGGGAGGAGTCCTAACTGTTGCTGCAGGCGTGTTGTGTGAGAGTGCAGTTATATACTGGTTAATATATTTTTGGGTTCAGTTGCTTTCATGTGGCCTAATGTGAGTCTATTTGGGATCATTGGAATGATCAGCAGCATTTCTTGATGTGACTTTATGGCAGTTGCCCAGGGCATCATCGCAAGGAGGATGGCATTCATTTACTTTTATTTTATTTGGTATTTTTCATTCATTTTTGGAAATACGGTAGTGATTAATTTTGATTAATTCACAGCCTATGTTTAATTACATTTAAAAATTAGTTGTTTGACATCCCCAATTATAATAAATATCTACAGATGAGATCAAACAAAACAGATGAGAATTGTTTAACTTGGACCAAGCATTTTAGGTCACAGATAGGTGTAGCTTAGGGTCTCTGTCTATACACCTTATAAGACAATTTAGGTGATGGCATGTTGTTTTTCTGCTATTGAACTGTTTTCTAATAATGTTGTGTTTAATAAAGTGAGGGAAGGAGAAAAATAACGTTTCCCTAGCAGTTTTTAAAAATGTCCCTATGTAATCCGATTAATCGATTAATCGTGTCGAGACCCCATCCGATTAATCGATTATCCAAATAATCGTTTGTTGCAGCCCTACAGCTAATGTGCTCATCTAAAAATAGTCCCCTTTCACAACCAACTGAATGTGTACGGTTCCGCTTACGCCAACATCGTACACAAAAAATGCTGACGACTAACTAGAAATTCACGAAAATGTCATAGAAATAAAACAATCTAGTTTATTGGGTCTTTGGTCATTTCAGGCCTTTGGAAACTGTATTTAAGGATTATTTGTCATTTTTAAGGATTTTCAAGGCCTTAAATTTGGAAAAGCAAATTTAAGACTTTTTAAGGACCCGCGGATACCCTGACAATAAAAGGCGGGTTGGGCTCAAGGAGGCATATGAAACTAACGTTATGCTGGAGACGTGCGTTAAAAAACATTACGTGGAGGTCTGAGAAGTGAAACTGAATCCGAGTTTCAGATCAAGTGCATACACCGAGTGCCAAACCCATACCAAGTGAGGACCAGACCCCCCAGACGAGTGTTGGTCTGATTTCTCAGGCAATTAGCAAGGAAGACATTTTTTCAGAGCTGTCACACAGAAGAAGGGAGTTATATAGATTTAATTCATATTTAGTCGAAACAAGCTGATCAGAGTGCCCCAGTAACATAATATTTTACCTAAAGTGACAATGTGTAGTTTTTAAAAAAGTTTTTAAAAAATACCCAAAACTATTGGCGGTTTTATAACATATAACCACAAAAATCAGGTCCAAAATACGAGGGGGCGAGTCCAAGGATGTCTCTCAATGCCAAGGAACCTCGCCTTGATGTCTTGCCCCCGCCCCGGTTGCCTAGGAGATACGTCATCAGGAACCACCAAGACGTGCTCCAGTGTTCATGTTCTACCAAAGCGTGTGTTCCCCGTTTGTTAGCCGTTTAGCTAGCTGATCAAAGATAAATGGGAGGTGTCTTGTAGCCTAGCCTTGGTCAAAAATTACCCAGAATACAGCGCGGTATTTTCAAAAGGATGGCGGATCAGAAGCCGGCAGCAACTTTGGGGGCAAATTTCAAGATAAAAGTAATTCAACAAATTTTAAATGTTTTTTTAGATCCAAACAAGTTATCTGTGGTTGGTTAGCTGCTTAGTAGTTGTAGCTTCAGTAGCTAGCAGGTAGTAACTCACTTATATACTTAATTTAACAAATATAAACACAATTAAAAAGTTAAAGGCTCATTATACATTTATATTAGAAACTTATACGTATAAAATATAACTTTATCTCCTGTATCATGTGATGTTACATGACCGCCATGGAAGCCGCGGCCGCGATGCAAGTCTGTTCCATTTAACCGTTTTCTTTGACCAAGGAAGGACGGTGTCCTCGTAAGTAAGGCGCCTGGCCTCGCAAGATATCACCTCACAAGGCAAGGCTCCTTGACATTGAGAAGCAGCCTAAGTCTCTGGGCGACGCCATATTGGAAGCCATGTTTCCTTCTACAGAAGCCGGTGAGGACTGAACGCACCTTCGGAATATTGCTAAGATTAGAAGCATCCTTTCCAGGAGTGATGCTGAAAAACTAGTTCATGCATTTATTACATCAAGACTGGATTACTGTAATCCATTACTCTCAGGAAGTCCACAGAATGTAGTTAAAAGTCTTCAGCTTGTCCAAAATGCTGCAGCTAGAGTTCTGATGAGAATTGAAAAGAGAGATCATATCTCTCCTGTCTTAGCTTCCCTACATTGGCTACCTGTTAAATTCAGAATAGATTTTAAGATCCTCCTTCTCACATATAAAGCTCTTAATAATCAAGCTCCATCATACATCAGTGAACTGATTGTTCCATATGTTCCTAACCGAGCACTTCGCTCTCAGACTGCAGGTCTACTGGTGGTTCCCAGAATATCTAAAATTAGGATGGGAGGCAGATCTTTTAGTTATCAGGCTCCTCTCCTGTGGAACCAGCTCCCAGCTTTAGTCCGTGAGGCAGACACCTTGTCTACTTTTAAGAATAGGCTTAAAACATTTTTATTTGATAGGGCCTATGGTTAAAATCTGATGTTAGCCTAAATCTGGACAAGTGGGGGAGTACAGGGAGGTGGAGTGTACAGTCGGTAAAGACGGCTCTCCCTTGCCCTGACTCCAACATGCCTCCATCTAAATAGGATAGATTATCCAGAGTTATCTCTGTAGTTATGCTGCTATAGGCTTAGACTGCTGGAGGATACACTGACCACTTTCCACACTCGACTACTTTCTTCTGCAATCTGCTCTTTAACTGTATTATTTCCTGCTATTTCAGCTGTTAACTTTATTTTCTCTCTAAGTGTTTTTCTCGCCAGAAGAAGCTACAACGACGTTCTGCTGAGCTGTGGTGGCCTCATGGAGGGGGCCATCGTCTAGCACACTGCTGCTAACCACTTAAACATTCTCCCTCTCCTCATAATAACACTTTACTCTCTCTGACGTTGGATGTGCTACTACTAGTTTACCAGTTTAATTATAGATTCACTAGGATAAATACAATAAAGTTTATCTCTCACCAAACAGAATATTTACTAAGAAATCACAATGTAACCATAGAAACACTACTTGGTGTGTGTGTGTGTGTGTTTCTCCATCCTGGCTCGTCTTCGAACAGACAAGGGGGTCCTCGTGGAACCACTGCACCACAGAAGGGTCTGCTCCAGCCTGATCTCTGCGGCTGTCCCCTCTACAAGTAGCAGAGACTCGGTCCGGAAGGCCACATGTGGCACAGGTCATGCTCTGCAGCCCCACCACTACCACGTCCTCCTTGTGTTCAGCATGCCTTTCAGAAGCATTAGCACCGGACACGGGGATCGGTGGCTGACTAACCTTCTGGCGTTGCTCCGAAGATCCGCACCACCGGCACCTTCCTCACGTCGCTCTCTCTGAACTCCGAGTAGCACACATCCAGGCCTTTAATGGGAGCCGATAGGTAGTAGTCCGCGGTGACGATTCGGACAGCTAGCATGGCTGCAGCCGTGTCCCCGACAGGGGCTGGCGGACCGAACCACACAAACAATCGCAAAAATCAGACGTAGAGTGTTGCTGGACGGTGGAAACTAACCAAACTGGAGCTGCCGTGGTCGGTGGAGCCGACGGGAAGCCCAGCTGTGCCCCCCACCTCCCCAAAAACGCTAACTAAATGTGCCGAATGCCGCCGCCGTGTCGGTCCAAAGCCCCGAAGAGCTAGTCTTCACGGTGGCGTGCAGGTACTAGCTGGTCCCTGGCTCCATGGCTTCCCCTTATTGTGACTCCGTGGTATTGTTGTTTGGGGCACGGCTGATACTCGGGCTTCCGGTGTGGCGTTGCGTTCTGGGTCCCGTGTATCTTGATCCGGCAAGCCAAAACCGCCACAATACGCCACTTTTCCAACCCGTCTCGTTAAGAGATGGCGAAAAAAACGCCGTTCGATGTGTCAAGATGTTGTAAAATACGGCGAACTCTCCCAGAACGCCGTATTTGACGCGAGTCAGAGCCGTTCCCGTAGAACGAAGGAAAAAACGACGTTTTTCCCGGACAGTGAACGCCGCTTTTTACGTTTCCCTAATCCCAGGCGTGTTCCTGTGTGGGTGGCGTAAAAAACGGCGTTTGCTGCTTTTGTCGCCGCTCTGGGACATAAAACGCCACTTTGTGACAGTTTTCACGCGTTTAAAATTCAACTTTACTCTCATTTATGCAGAGCCCTCCCCGTGGGTTTCTCATCCATTTAATTTAAACTCCAGTCCAGTGACCCAATGAAAGAAGAGGAGGTTGAGGAGGCAGCACTAATTCATCCCAGATTCGCCGGGCTGTCGGGCTGTGCAGACTACTGTTTTCTAATACAACTCTGCTGTATTTCAACTAATTTCACTGTATAGATAAAGCCTTGAAATGTAGTAATATTATCAACAATGTGTCAACATTATTATTTATCCACCTGTAAAAGGCAGGAATGCAGTTTCAGTCAGACCTGATTACTTAAACGTTTGGCCACTAGATGGCGCCACATATCAGTCTGTCCTCGTTCCGCGGCTCGTGAGTCCAGCTGGAACATCTGTGCTCTTTCTGTCCAAAACTCCCTTTTCCCCCTTTAGGCTCATCCACTTTGAGGATTTACTATTATTTTTTATTACTATTGTTATACTTGTCTTATAGGAGCTCCTGAAGATGTTCTGTCTTGCATCATCCCTCTCCAGATCCTCAGACCAGCCACTCCAGAACCTTCCCAGATCCAGGATCAGAGCACTTTAATACAAGTTTGAAACATGTCTGCTTGTTGTTGAGTTGTTGTCCTATAGAAGCCTTAAACTAGAATATGCTCATGAGCTTTCTTGGCTAAAATATGCTCTTGACTTTTTTTATTTACATAAATATTTCAAGAAAAACGTTTTTCATTGCTGCTTCACCAAAGACATGACTCTGAAAAAGTCCTCATGATCCTAAACGCTGGTTTAAACAAATTACTTTCAACCTCTTTGCTTTTTGTGTTGTTGACAAAATGCTGTGCAGAACTGCATGACGTCATCTCCCCATTCAAACATCCCAGTGTAATGAACGGATTTAGCTTTATCTTTCATTGTTTATTTAACATTTCTGGATATTTTTCTAACTTTTATTGCATTGGTTTTAGTGTCTGGCTGCAGGAGCAGAACAGATCGACTGAAGCAACTGATCTCTTTAGGTTTGAAGCTCCACAATTTATGAAAAATATTTACAAATTTATTATCAGACATAGATTTAGGAAGACATTGAATGAATGCAACAAATCAGCTGGAGTTGTTCCTTCTGTAAGAATCTCTGGATGTTAATCAGGTTTCTCGTGTTTGCGCCCTATGACACAAAGCAGCTGAGAAGATCAGGTGTTTGAAGCAAGGACATAATTTTCACTTCAGAAGTGGGGGGGACACGGGGGGGGGGTATCTTTACAGTATGTTCTAATGGGAAGCAGGCTTCAACACAAACGGTTGCTTTCCGCTTGGTCCTAGAGCTCAACCAGTGTCAATTTAATATAGCCTAATATTGAGTGTGGATGGTAAAAAGTGCTGGGGTCAAAGCTTGACTTTGGAAAAATTGGGGGGGGACATGTCCCCCCTGTCCCCCCCCCCAAAATTACGTCCATGGTTTGAAGTGATGCTTTTGGGCCCGGTCCCTGGTGGTTTCCAGCATTGACGTAATTTTCACTTTAGAAGTGGGGGGGGGGGGGGGGGGGGGGACACGGAGTGGGGTGGGGGGTGTGTGTGTGTGTGAATCTTTACAGTATGCTCTTATGGCTTCAACACAAACAGTTGTTTTCCGCTTGGTCCTAGAGCTCAATCAGTGTCAATTTAATATAGGATAACATTGTGTTTGGATGGTAAAAAGCGCAGGGGTCAAAACTTGACTTTGGAAAAAGTGGGGGAGGACATGTCCCCCGTGTCCCCCCCCAAAATTACGTCCATGGTTTCCAGACATTATTCAGTTTACACATCTTTTGCTGCACATGGACTGTTCTCATACGGGTTCTTGTCTAGTAAGCAGAGGGTTGCCTCCTGTAAAAATGGGGGTGATCAGCTTCATTGTTGTCTTTCAGCACACTCCGTAAAGTCCTACATTTAAAAAAATGTGGCTTGTGGGAGAGGCTCGTCTACTTTCTAAGGCTAACACTTTTAAATTCCTCTTAAACACTCAGTTAACACCCCTGAGACTGAAAGACTTCCTGTACTGTTTTGTGCTGACAGTAATAGTTTGATACACTGTTGGACAACTTAGCTGCTAGCATCATTTGGATACTCAAACCCCTCCACCACGGTAAGGTGGCAGCCCAGGGAGGGACACTATAACAACACACTATATAATTATAATGCAACGATCTAGATGTGGACACACGCTTGTGCACGTGCAAGTGTGTGTGTGTGTGTGTGTGTTTGAAGGTGTTTAAATGTATTTGTTTTAGTGAATTTATTTTTCTTCAGACAGATTCACCTGACTCGTGCATCAACATATGCTGAAATGACAGACAGTGCCTTGGACATCGTTGCTGGCAATGAACTAGCTGGACCAGAGGCTGTCAGAGCATCCCTTCGAGCACAAGGACTACGTGTACAAAGAAGGAGGGTTCGAGCGAGCATGCTACGGATAAATCCTGGAGCAGCTGCACTTGGAGCAGCTGCACTTGGAGCAGTTACGCGGCGACCTGAACGAAGGTCATATCAGGTGGCTGGCCCTAACTCACCATGGCACATTGATGGAAATCACAAGCTGATGAGGTAAACAAGCAAAGAGATTTCACAAACTTCTATTTTAACCAAAATAAATATTGGTCACACATAAAGTGTATGTGCAGTTTCATTTTATACACATATCACATTTAATATGATCATGTTATGGACTGAGGACGAGATTTAATAACTGAGAAAAACTTTATAATTAAAAGATCTAGTTAAGTAAAAAAGCCTGTCTTCAGCCATTATTTCACCAGGGTAAGTGTTTGAATCTGGATTTGACACGCATGCATGCAGAAGAAGGATTACGTTGTAAAGGAAAGTGAATGAGTGTTCTACTCACATGCTTTGTGATATGGAGAGTGGTCGCTGCCATGACTAAGCCTAACCAGACTCCGGAGAAGGCGCAGCTGAGGGTGACGTCACCAACCAAACGTCTTCACTGTCAATAGTATTTTCCACAGTGCGGACTTAAGACCTGTGACAACGTAGTGTTGGCGCATGTAAGCCAACCAGGGGCGTGTCCAGGGAGTGGCCTGGGGTAGCACATGCCACCCTTGGAATCTGATTGGCCACCCCCAGGTGCCACCACACTAATTTACTTTTAAATAGGCTTTTTGTTGTCCACAAAAGGCTTGGGGGTAAAACAAAAAAAGCATAACCATTGGTGCCACCCGTGCACAAAGCTGTGCCTCACCTGGGCCACCCCATTTTAAAAGATCTGGACACGCCACTGAAGCCAACGCCTGGTAGCGGCGGCGCACCTTAGGAAAACTATAAAATGTACTGAGTGCTTACTAAACGTCGCCTCTCTTGACCTCGCCTCGGTTGGATGGTCCTCACTTGGAGAAGTATTTCAGTGATGTAAAGAACAGGTTAATTCCATGGTGGTGGTGGTGGTGGTGGTGGGGGGGGGGGGGGTTATTAGTTTAGTTGATGCAACAAATAAAGAGGAGATCATAAAAACCCACGGAGAAATGCCCGCTGTTGCCCTCTAGTGGTGAATATATGTTAGAGCCGACGACGTCCTTCTCCCAGCGGTTCTTCTCTAACGTTCACGTATGACGTTGTTCTCCTTGGGCTGGTCATCTGTGGCGGGAATCCGTCTCCATACTTGGTGAGCCCTCTGCTCTGCTCCCCTTCTGCAGGAGGAGGCGGTGGGGAGCGGGGACAGACAGGTGCAGGTGTAAACTCACTGAGCAGCGGGAGGAGGAGGAGGAGGTTGAGGAAGGGGAGGACATGGGTTAAAGCAGCAAATGCAGACAGATTAGGACACATTTTACCGATATGGACAATTCAAAGGAAGAGTGTGGATGATGCAGAGCACGAACATCTTCTCACCAGGCTCTACGATAGTTCCTGTGTGATGATGTCAGCATTTCTAAGTTATTTACCTGTAAATAGTTGAGTCTATAAATAATTTACTAACAGAGTTTATTTTTGTTATTAAATGTAGTTTTGCTGCTCTCTGTTTAGTGTTGGATAGTTAGAAGTTATTTAAAGGGATACGATGCAACTTCTCCACATTTTAAATCATGTTCTTGAGCCAGTTTGTGCTAGAATGACCCTTTAGGGTTAACGAAAGGTCACTCAGACCCCACCGCCCTCTGTAGCCAGACTATCACACTTGCAACCTCAGAGTGGCAGGCCACTGTTTAGCTGACATACCTGGCGTTGCAGTCTGCTTCCAGCAGGTTTCCTGCATGTTTTAGATCATAAACACATCTGATGTGTTTGGTTTAGTGATGAATCCCTTCTGTAGACACTAATGACGGTTGGGGAGACGCTTCACACAGACAGGAGATAAGTTTTGCTTTTGGTTCTACTAAACGGCCACTAGAGGTGCTAAAAACACACAAAAACTGCCTAGTTTCCCTTTCAATAAGAAAGAGTTGATTTAATGTAAGTTTGTAGATTGGTCAGTAATGTCACACATTTTACATAATTCTGGTGATAAATTTATGTAAAAAACGAAAAAATGTGAGGAGATGTTTGAGATCCAAAAGAACCGAGCCATTTTAGGGAGCCGAGCCGTAAGAACGGGTTCTCCTGAAAGAGCCGGTTCGTTTCAAGGAGCCGAGCCGCAAGAACCGGTTCTCAAGAAAGAGCCGGTTCATTTTAGGGAGCCGAGCTGTAAGAACCGATTCACCTGAAAGAGCCGGTTCATTTTAGGGAGCCGAGCCGCAAGAACCGGTTCTCAAGAAAGAGCCGGTTCATTTTAGGGAGCCGAGCTGTAAGAACCGATTCACCTGAAAGAGCCGGTTCATTTTAGGGAGCCGAGCCGTAAGAACCGGTTCACCTGAAAGAGCCGGTTCATTTTAGGGAGCCGAGCCGCAAGAACCGGTTCTCCTGAAAGAGCCGGTTCATTTTAGGGAGCCGAGCTGTAAGAACCGGTTCACCTGAAAGAGCCGGTTCATTTTAGGGAGCCGAGCCGCAAGAACCGGTTCTCAAGAAAGAGCCGGTTCATTTTAGGGAGCCGAGCTGTAAGAACCGATTCACCTGAAAGAGCCGGTTCATTTTAGGGAGCCGAGCCGCAAGAACCGGTTCTCAAGAAAGAGCCGGTTCATTTTACTGAACCCAGCCGTAAGAACCGGTTCTCCTGAAAGAGCCGGTTCATTTTACTGAACCCAGCCGTAAGAACCGGTTCTCCTGAAAGAGCCGGTTCATTTTACTGAACCCAGCCGTAAGAACCGGTTCTCCTGAAAGAGCCGGTTCATTTTACTGAACCCAGCCGTAAGAACCGGTTCTCCTGAAAGAGCCGGTTCATTTTACTGAACCCAGCCGTAAGAACCGGTTCTCCTGAAAGAGCCGGTTCATTTTAGGGAGCCGAGCCGCAAGAACCGGTTCTCTTAAAAGAGCCGGAGTTCCCGTCCCTCCCTGACTGGCACCACTGGATTTAACGTGATTTGCATGAAGACGTCACAAGACTTCCAAACATTGCGTGAGACAGGAAGAGGAATGCTTCCTGTTTGCCTCAGAACTAGTGTTTGCTGTAGTTGTGGAATAAAAGAAGGTGAGTGTGCTCAAAGCTATATTTGTTCTGTTTTTGTATTTATTACGAAGAACACACGAGGACTGCCTCAGGTGTGGTTTTACACCTGAGAGGACATACCTGACACGCCAGCTGAGCGAGAGTTTGACCTTTGTACTAGTTAGTGTGTGATCGTGTCACATTCCACTCCGACTGGCAGAGCTGTTGTTCAAGTAGACTGCTGTAATGTAACTTGTGATACTTTAAATAAACAACAAATATACATTAATTATACCATAAGTGCACGTAGACATGGCTGGCATGTCTACTCAGCTCTACCTTTATTGTGCAAATTCCCTGCTGAAGCTCATCCGTTCATGTCACCGGGTTCTGTGGGACCTTTTACCATTTGTATGATTCTTCAGATTTTTATTTAAATTCTTTGGACTTTTAATTGAATAAATATATTTCAGGCTCGACAGAAACAGCTTGGCCACAACGTTTTTCCTTCTGTAGCCTTGAAGCTATCCCTGAACGTCTGTCCTCTCCCTCTCTGCTTC